AAAAAACACACACACACACACATACACACACACACACACACACATATATATATATATATATATATATATGTGTGTGTGTGTGTGTGTGTGTATGTGTATGTGTGTGTGCTTCTTAGAAATGTTTGTAAAAATTTCATAATGGAATGCGCTACATGAGGGTAGTATATTCATCACAATACATCTTTAAACTTCATTGACGACACAAATACACACCTTGCTGGAAAGCCAGCCTAAGTGCGGGTACGGAGTCAAAGACCACAAATCGATAGCAGAGTCTTGATTTCTACCTACCTTTTCACCTTTCCTATTCATCATACATTGACGTAGCTAAGGCTCGTAGTTATTTTGCTTCCAGTGCACTAGTGTAGTAGCGTGCTAAGTGTCAAGCTGCCGAACAAAGAGATAAATTAAGGAAAGAAGCAGGTTTCCATAGTGAAGCGTCTACAGTCTCGTTTAACACAGTACTGAGAAATGAAGTGTGCATGCGTCTAGAGACAGAACTCATGCGACGGTGGAAAATATCAGTAGACATACTCGACTTTTAATTTTAATTCTCTGTTTTGCCAGCGTCTTGTATGGGTGTACATCAATAAAACCGACCAATGTTTGAAGCCTTACTGCTGCAGGTAAGCGTTCATTTGAGCGAGTAAAACAGAATTGATTTTGCCGAATTTAGCGGTCCAGTAGTTAGGTTTGCCAGGAGGTTCCGCGTTCAATTTCGGCCAAGACACCGACCATCGTGACAGTTCTGTGGTTTTACTCAGCTTTTTCAGGCAAATACCTTGATAGAATCTTAAACTACACCAATACCGCCTACTACTACATCCTTTACATTTAATTAGCTATTAATTAATCATTTTATCGTCAACGTTGTTGGTATAAATAAATAGATAAATATGACCTCACCTCCTCACAGAGAAGAACCGGTGTACGGTTTCACTTTACATGTTCCAAAATATTTTCAAAGAATTCGCTGGTAGCGTCACTCGTCGCTTAATACTATTTATTCCTCCACTGTGCATGTGTTCTACGTTTAAGATTCTTCGTGACACCGTTGAAGAGGATAAACTTCACGAGGGATGCTGGGCTACTTTGCATGTGCACCCACTGTACCAACGAGAGCCGCACATCAAACTACTACCCTGCATGTAAAGAATTTTACGCTCCTCCTCTAAATGAGAGGTTCCTCTGCACCCCTCCCACTTTTAATTAAACCCAGAGCAGAGTTGCTCCAGTGATGGGCCCCTATGGATAAAGCCTTTATCCTTTCTGTCATATCAAGGGTTCAGAATAGCCACTGTGTCTGAACAAGGACTCTGATATTAATGGTGGTGATGGCACTGAAAATTTGTATCTTTGAGTTTTGGCTCATCACATCTTAGATCGCTTATTTAAATTAAATCCCTTCCCACTGAATGTAATTGTATTTTATGATAGATGAAATCTTGCAACCCTAGTACCATCTTCAAATTTCAGAAGTCCATTCTGTTTTACAGAAGCGAGTATAAAGTCAAAAATCCTGACAAATTATTTTGCACACTTAGATATAGGCCTACTAATACGATTTATTTTCACTTTGTTCCTTTTTTGTATGTGCGTTCGAAATTAAAATTTGCAGAAAACACCTATGTCCTCTGCCACCTCTGTCTGTCTGTTCGTAAAGTTTTTACTTTCTAAGTAACTTGATGGTGTAGAGTCATTTTACAGAATCTAATAAGTTACTTGTAATTCGGTTAGTTTAGGGAACTCGCCAATGGTCCCCATCCTAGTCAGTTTAATTCATTCCACGTCATCTTTCTTTAAGTTCCGTTTTA